CTATCGTGACGGTCATCTGGACTTAACTCGTTTGAATCCTCTTGCATCCGCTGCCATCTCTATCCGGCGTCTTGCCCTTTCCTTCCGGACACTGGGCCTTCAGGTGACCTTCTTTGCCACACCCGTAGCACTTACGGTTCCAATGCTTGTTCTCTGCTTTCTTCTTTGGACACTTACTGGCAAAATGTCCAGTCTGACCGCATCCGAAGCACTTCAAACCTGACCGGTTGACCTTCATCACCCGTGCTTCGGGGTTTCTCGAGTCATCACGGTACTTTTCGGACAGTCGTATCGTGGTCATCTTCCTCACCAGTGTGTCCAACGACTGACAATTCGCTTCGTGGAGCCTGACCTGCCATGACGCCGGTGCACCCTTCACAGCGTAGTTAATCGCCATGATTTTCCAAGTATCCGCTTTCCCTTCAGGTACAGCTTGTTGCACCTTCTCGTACACGTCGTTGACGAACTCTCTCGGATCTTGGTCGTGACTCAGCTGCATGCGGTCCAGATCCCTCAGGATGAATGCTTTTACATGCTGTGGCTCCAGACACTCGGTGATGCATTCTTCTATGTCCTTCAGATTCGGTACAGACTCGTCTGTTTTGGGAAGTTTCTCTTCCACCCTTGTCGCTAGCCATTCAGACTTCGACTCCATCCCGACTGCATAAATGCACAAGTCGTACACTTCAGACTCAGACATCTGGTCCACGGCCACTCGCCGCCTCATCTGTCGAAAGAAACTTCTGAAATCCTTCTGGTTGAAGCTTGGGAGGCCCAAACTCCCACCCCAGCTCCGAGTTCTCGGTGCATAAGCCATGACAGCACCACCTCCTTGGTTTGTTTGCAACACACCACCGTTCTCACCCCCAGCCTCCTGCTGGTCGGTCATTGCTCCCTGTATCACACCGTACAGTCAATCTGCAGCACACGTTTCCCCGGATCGTCCCGATCCACTGCTTCAGACAGGGCTCCAACCCCAGAAACACAGGTGGCAACCTTTCAACTCGTATCCCACCGCTGATGATAAGAGTTTGGAAACGTATTTCTGTATTAACCCTCGCCGGCCGAGGGGGGGGGGACGGGTGCCGCCCCCCCCCATAGGGTTTTTTCGCGATAGCCCCGAACACGCTGGCGATAGAGAGCTGAAACTTGGCATACCTGACCTTTGATCCAAGCCGCATCTTTTGACACCAACCGCATTTTTGGGTCAGGTCAGGTCACTGACCTATGACGTCATAAGTGAACCTCTGCACGGTCTTCAGATGTCGCAACTTCGCAACGCCCTCACTGCCAGAGGAGATGTCACAGGGAAATGAAACTTGCAGGATCTAGTATCCATTATTAGTCCCACAACTTGTATATCTCGGATTTTTCCTAAAGGTCATATGAGGTCAGGTCATTTTCGTGACCTCACCATTATAAGTCAATGGGGAAAAATGAAAACTGGTATTCTGGCGCCGGGAACGATCTCCAACTATCTCAAGCACACAGAATCGTGATTTTATGCACTCCTTGCAAGGTTAGATGCGTCACTTTTGCAATGTTGACCTTGCGTGACGTCATTTATGACGTCATCAAGGTCATATTAGTTTTTTGTCAATAACTCTTGATCAAATTGAGCTAGCGAGTCGGGAAAGTCACAAATGGACTCAGGAAGACCTGCCGAATCGAATGATATGCGACATGACCCCTTTCGACCAACTTCGTGACCTGGGGGTGCTGACCTGACCTTGACCTGAGGTCAACACCCCAAGTTGACCTGACCCGGACAAAAAGTATATCATTCGACGCGCCTGAGCGAGACGAACACGATGCTGCCAAAATCTGCGCTCTGCGGCCGTTTTTTGCGAAGTTATTCACCAAAAACTGAACCGTACCTTGGGGTACTTGACCTGACCTCAGAGGTCACCGGTTGACCTAGGACCTTAAAATCGGGTACCAATCTCTGCGTCTCGTAACGGCGCACACGCTCGTTTTTTCCGCGACGCGCTAGCTCCACCAGGGGCGAAACGGCGAGGGGGGGGGTCGTACCCGCTCCCCCCCCCTCGGCCGGCGCGTATGTAGAAAACCAATAGGTCCGGCGAGGGTTAATCACTACATGCTGCACAACACCAGCGAACACCCCCCGCGCGCCGACGCGACTCCCGCTCAATCCCCGTCTGCCAAGGTAAGTCTACCCGACCGTATATGTGGCGTGGCCCAATCTTATAAAGGTTGTGCTACCAAATGGCGTACTATCATTTCACCCCACTCTATTTACGGCACCCTATTCACGCAATCTTATAAAGAGAATAGCATGGTAATTCTATTCACGCCATTTAGCCCACAGTACAAATCAACGCCAGCAGGAAACACGCAACGTGATTGGTCAATGTCTTGTCGCCGTCGCTATTGGAAATTATGCGTACTGTTTGCGAACAGCAAAAGTTATGTGTTTTAATTTTTATTGGGCATTTATTTCTTTTAGAGACACACATATGTGTAATAAACAAATTATTTATGTAAAACGTGATAGCAAAGTATGGAAAACACCAACATGCTTGAAGAATTCTCCTGAAAAGTGGTTTGCCGACCAAATAAATTTCAGCGAGGGCATTCTCGCGCTCAGAAAATCGAGTGAATGAAGTGTTTCTTCAACTTATCATTTGCATTTATTTGCTGTTAAGGCATTGCAATAAATTTGTTAAAGAATTATTTAAATAATCATTTAATTATAGCTCGGCTACTCTTTCAGTAATTGAAGTAATGCCGTTGACAATGAAGCTCCTACAATTTGAGCATCAGGATACGTACATTAGCTGGATCAATTCAAGATATAGCTTATTTTCCTTCTTGTCTTCATGAAGATAAAGCTACTAAAATTCGAAGATTACGTACATGAACTGAATTAGGTCAAGTTACAGCTTATTTTCCTTCTTATTCAAGCATAGGTACCTATTACCTAGCCTAAAGCTAAAAAGCAATTCCTCAAAAGATTTAAGTACCTAGTCTACATATCAATGCTATATCAAGAAAAATACTTGGTTCAGAAGTCAGATCGAGATGCAGGAAGAGAAACAACAGATTGATCACTGATCAGTGACTGTGCCAAACAGAAAGTGAGGAAATACGAATAGTGAGTAGGCATTTATAATTTTTTGACAAACTAAGGTATATCATCATTAATTTAAATATCTAATCAGAAGCCATGAAGTGCCCGTTATTTGTGTCATACGTGAGACGTGAGAATATAAGGCTTAAGACCCATACCGATTCTATAATGCAGTGGCTGCCGAAAAGCTAAGACGGTTACTAATGCTAAAATCCTCTTAAAAATCCCCTTGTTATTTGAAAAATAAAGCCATATAACGATGAACACTCGTTTTTATGTGTTTTAGTGTGCATTTAGTTCCTGGAAATACATATTTTGAAATTGATCGTTGTCTGTATAATTAACCCTATTAGTGGCAGGGGGGGTTGTTTTTATCCACCCCTCAGGTTTTTCGGGAATATCTCCGAAACCGCTCAAGCTACGATGCTGAAATTTTCTGACTTTTCCTAAAACTAAATTGGGCACATTCCCTGAAAATTTCAAGTTCATACCTTTACCAGGGGCGGCTCCAGAGCACTGGGAATTGGGGGGTCCTATTCGTGAAGCGAGTCATTTGGGCGAAGATCACGATGCTGCACCAGTTTTACGAACAGTGAATGAAAGGTATCATGTGATAACATATACAGTTATTGTGCATCCTCTTTTGTCACGTTTTTGCTATAATAGGCGGATCCAGGCGTCCAAAAAGGGGGGTTATGTTTTACCTCCCAACATAGGTGCCCTGACACCGCCTATGCATGACCAATACAATTGTAGTCGTTCTCTCATAAGAAAATTGTAACAAAACAAGACCATTACCACCCTTTTTAGAAACAGTACCAACAAAAACCTTATTTACTATACTTTTTGTGTACCCCCAATCTCAATGATCTGTATCCGCCTATGATTTTTGAAAATGCATATTTTTAGGATCCATGTGAATTCCTGGTTCATTCTCTATCGATCGGCAAAAGTTGCGTTAAGATTGGTTCAGAAACCTGGCCGTGATAAACAGTCTAAAATGTATCTGCAATTTGCCCGTTTTTACCCCCCTCTACCCCCCCTATTGACATTTTTTAATTTTTATTTTTTAGAAATGTAGATCACGTTGAGCGCAATCGAATGCCGTTTGAATTTTGAAAATCGGCCCGTTAGATCTCGAGATATCAAGGGGGGGTCGTAAACAGCCCCCCCCCCCTGCCACTAATAGGGGGTAGCCAGGAGCCTGCCACTAATAGGGTTAAGCATCATCATAGTAAATCATGAGTTAATATGTGGAGGATGTTATAATCTTGGAAATATCATAATGTAAAATATTGCATACTTATATCATAAAAACATTGAATTTATCTTAAATCAATTAAACTGTCTGAGAAGCTCGTCAAAGTACGCCACAAATTCTGGCGTGAAATGGACGCCGCTGAAACCGCAAACAGCTGATGATTGTCGGTGTTTTGAGATGTGCACAGCTGCTCACGGTTAAAATCAGTTAACGGTATCCTCAAAACCAGCGGCTACCAATACCGTAAACAGCGTGCCGTGTTTTCGATTTCACAGAGTTTTATAAGATTGCGTACTATATATCCAGCCTTAGAGTGCTGCCATATCCATTTCACGGCGTTTATAAGATTGGGCCACTGTGACGTCACTGGTATCCTTCGCGCTCCTTACAGCCAGTGTCGAAACCCCGCTCAGTGTCGAAATTAAATGCCCCATGTCACGCCTCTGCACTATGCCGAGTTTGGGGCGTGGTTTGTCTAAAGCGCATTCCAGCTGACGTTCCTAATGCAGATCTGCCGAAACTAACTGACCAGATGCCGATTCGGATCGAAAAAAGGTGTAGTGTCTCCGTGTTAAGTCGACCGCTGGTGCCACTGTGTGACTGTGTCCCGTATACTGACCTGTTCTGTTTTGTTTTGATTTGTTGCAGGATGGCAGTGACCTGCAGGAAACTGTATAGACTGTTCATTGGATCCTCCACTGAAAACTGCCAGGCCGTCCTGACCGCCCTGCACGATACAGACCTGGGATGTGACAGTGGCCAGTCCCGTACCATCAATCTCTGTGTCCCCAGTAAGTGACGGCGTCTCTGACCACCCACACCAGCCGACATGGCGCCACCGGCCTCTCTGATACGCACAGACACTGACGCACGTGACGTCACCAGTACTGACGTCACAATTGGTTACGTGTATCTCCGTAAGTGGCGTCACAGTATCAGTATCAGTCCTCATGACGTCATTAGTCGGTGATACACACATTGCCATTGTGTTTGTTTCTGTACCTGTAAGTGACGTCATAAGTCTGAGTTGCCCCATGTGACATCTCTAGCAATCAGTATGTAATCTGACGTGCTCTATTTTTCAGAGTCTGCATACGACCAGCTTACCAAGCCTCCCAAAGGCAGCAAAATCTGCTTGCAGTACTATAACTAGACGACTAGCTTCCCGGTGCCTCGTCCGCTCTGGTGCCGGCGGCAGTGTCGGAACTCGACAACAGATGGCAGCACCGTGTCCCGTCGGCAGCGCTGTACGGAGCACATTGCACACCTGGACCTTCATATCCAGAGTTGTTCGGAGCCGCCCTGTCCCATGGGGCCAGGTCCGAGGGTGCTTTACCGCCGTGCCAGGCTGGTTTGGGTTGAGTGACCACCTAAATGCTTGATCATTTGAGCACAGATTGCTACGTTTGTTGACACTGCTTTGATAGACACTAGTTATATTCCGAGATGTATCACGCTCGGGGCCACTGTCCAGCCGTCGGTAAACCGTTGTCACCGTGCCGGAGGTACCGCCGTGGTGACGTCACGTGTGTTGTCGTGACGTCACGCTGGCTCACACCGCTGTGCTGTTGTGTTGTTGTTTCAGTTTAGACCAGAGAGTGGTTGCAGCTAGCTGTGAGGGTGTCCGGTCCAGGCGATATCGGACCTCGCCCGTCACTGTGTCGGACCGTCGGTGGTCCGGTCGGCTGTGGTTCGTTTGGACCAGATATGTCCAATTGTGGTTCGTTTAGACCAGATGTCTGGCTGTGGTTCGTTTGGACCAGATATGTCCAATTGTGGTTCGTTTAGACCAGATGTCTGGCTGTGGTTCGTTTGGACCAGATATGTCCGGTTCGGTGTCGCTCATGGGATAGCACGGGCTGATGGCGATTGAAATACATGATTGGTGGCTTAGTAATCTTATTCAAGAATTTTTGTTCAGGCCTCTTGTTAGTACATGAGAGTCTCAGGAGTGAGGTATCGAATACGCAATTTTAACTGAAATGGCATTCGCAAGTGTTTATTTTATTGCCACAACCAACAATTATAAACGATGTAGGATGTTATTTTTGTAAACGTCATGCATTCTATATGCATCGTCCTCCATTGTATTGTATATCTATTTAGCATTGACCTTCAGTAAGTTTGTACCTACTTTGTTGTCATGGGTGAGCGCAGTCAAATCGACCACCTGGGCTGGATGTACTGTCGGCTGAAACTGCAAGCTGCATGCCAGGGGAGGGGTGAGCCTGCACACTGACCGACTCGTGTTGTCACGTTACCATGGTAGTTCTGATGACGTCATCAAATTATTGAGCCCCGCCGGGTTAATGGGTTAGTTCCAAGGCCATGCTAGTTCGGCCTCATGACAAAGCGACACAGGGGTGGCACTGCTCAGTGTTAGCGCTGTGACCTCGTACAGAGAGTGGAGGACTAGGACGAAAGGTGTGCTGAGGAAAGTAAGGTAAGCAATTCAAGTTAAGCCCGCGTCCCGGACTGGGGTCCCAGTGTTGCCAGGTCTAGAGGTAAACCTCCAGATCTAGAGGTTTAAGGGGAGCGTTTTGGGGCTCCTGGAGGTTTTTGAAAAATGCCGAATTCTAGAGGTTTTTCTAGAGGTAATTTGAAAATGCGAGAAGTAGCATCAATATCTATTGAGAACTATTTCGATACTGTATTTCATGCAATTATTTTAAAGTATTGCATGCTAAAACACATTTTTTACAGATTGATGGAAACGAAAAACCTAATGTAATTGATTAACCCGCGCCTGACTGAGGTATTTTCCATAACGCGGCTGACTGGGGGGGGGGGGGGGGGCGGAGGGAGGGAGAATCTCTTCAGAGCCCCCCTCCTATCTCCGAAGTCCGAAACTGCCAAGCCGATTGTCAAAATTCAAACGACGGCTGATTAAACTGTCAACCGAAACCATCTTTCATTTAAACCTCAAGGTAACCAATGACGTCACAGCTTACAGGTTAGGTCAAAGTAAAAATTATCAACATTTTGGCTTGATCACAATTTAGGCTCAGGCAGCCGGCTGCAGCTGAAAGTTCTCGTCATACCGTGGGCACCAAGTATTGTCGACAAATGCGAAGGCATGCGAAGATGAGTGATATTAAAGGGACAGTATCATCGAAAAAAAAATCAATGTATGGAGCTGATTTTTTTTTTTACTAGCATTTCTTATTTTCCTGAATCAGAAAAACATAGTTTGAGGACCGAACTCGGTGAAAAATATTGCAACCACATTTCATTTTCATGATTCATTTTCATGAGCGAACCACCACTATACAAGCATGGCCGCCATTTTGGAAGCATGCAAAATTACTACAGAACTGGCGCAGATAATACATTATTGACGCTACGCTTACGCGGTCGTTCTTCTGATTGAGTTGTCCTTAGGGAGAGGTAGCCTTAGGTATTGCCTATAAAAATATCACGTGACAATTGGAGGGAGTGACAATTGGACGTGACAATTGACAATGGGAGAAAATATCACGTGACAATCACGTGATAAACGTCATACATTGGAGGGAGATTGTGATTCAAGCTGGAGGAATTCCTTTGTTGAGCCGCTAGAAACCGAAGGAAACAGCGGAAATTGCCTACGACTATTTAACCCGCGCCCGGCTGGGGGTCCTGGATTTCCACGCCCTGCTGGGGGGGGGGGGTGTTTGAACACCCCCCTTCTAACTCGGCTCCTGGGCCACGTAGCGATACGCGGAAGGCGGCGTTCGAAAGAGCGTCAAAAATAATGAGGAAATCACTTCGGTCAATTTTTTGCTCAGGTCAAAGGTCAGGTCACCAGAGGTCATTGAAGGCAAAATTTCGCCGATTTCCAGGTCGAATGTCGAAAATTTCCAAGAAGCCAACGCATAACTCGGGAACCAAAAGAGCTACAGCGCCGCGGAAAAGCGCATTCGATAGCCCTTTTAACGCCCTTTCTGAGTAATTCTCTCAGATTTGACCTAACGTCAACGGTTTTGCCTGCAGGGGGCAAAAACTGCAAAAATAGCCGATTTTTTTGGAAACAGTTTTTCTGCAATAACTTTTGACCCAAGCCTTGTACGAGCTTACTTTTACCGGCATCGTGTTCCTCTCGTCAAGACGCATCGAATGAACTATAACTTGACCTTGAAAGGTCAACTTGAAAATTTGACCTCAGGTCAAGGTCATGACCTGACCGGAAAGGGTCATGTTGCATATCAGTCGATCCGTATCGTCGAGCTGAACACATCTAAGGCGTTTTCATCGCTCTAGCATGCCTCTATCAAAAGTTATTTGCGAAAAACTGTTAGATACCATTCGTGACCTAAGATGACCTCAGGGCATAAACAGGGGTCACGGACACCATTTTCATGTTCAGTGTGTCTAAACTACTTGTAATTCAGTGTTTGGGAGTATTTATAATGTCTTTCGTCCAAAAGAGGCGCATTTCAATTTTCTCCCATTGACTTATAATGGGGAGGTCTCAAAATTGACCTGACCTTAGGTCAACGATATCAACATTCTGAGATATACATTTTGTACATGCCATTGCTCTTAGCAATCGCTGAAAGTTTCAAAGCATTCGGTCACTCGGTGTAGCTATGACAGACATTGAAACTTTTTATGAGGTGAGGTCACTTCAAGTGACCTGGTGACCTGACCTTGAATGACCTTGGTCTGAAATTTTTACAACATGTGTAGAATTGATGTATGATAAGGTGTACCAAAAACGGCGGCGCTCCGCGCCGCCGTTTTTGAGATATTCGCGAAAAACCACAAGGGGGGGGGGGTGTTCAAACACCCCCCCCCCCAGCAGGGCGCGGGTTAATGAATTTAACGGTGATGAATAAGTGCGAAAAACGTTTTGGCTTTATAAAATTTGATGAAATGACCAGGGTAAAAGTTTTATTACTGGCGGTCAATTCAAAACGGCGCAAACATTTAAACAGTGAAGATAGTGAAGCACGATTCAAAGTGTAGTACACCTTTCGTACTTTGAGCGGCGATAGCGGGATAACGGTGTGGAGCTTCGAGGATCGGTCTTCAGTTTCCGGACCAGAAAGGTGGGGCCTATGCAATGTCAAATTTCATCAAAATGGTGATACTGTCCCTTTAATTAATCTTCATTGATGATACAAACGCAGTGTTTCAAAGCACGCTGCCAGCCGCTGCCAGCGCGCCAGGACGTCACACTTTGATAGTGTCGGCCTTGGTAGTGTCGGAGCAATGGGCTTGATGTCAGCACGCGCTGGCAGCGTGCTTTGAAACAGCGCCACGGTTTGTGATACGGAGGTAAGTATCAGGGATGGAGATCTGTCAAAATGTCAGGGGGGTCCAGGCCGGGCAGATGGAGGCGGGCTGGGTGGCGGATGCCGTACCATTGACTTACATAGCAGTAATTCGTCCCCCCCCCCCCGAGATCTCCACCTCTGGTAAGCATGGAGGTACTTCATAATCCGCGGTAATGAGAGGTTTCTAGAGGTTTTTACAGCATTTTCTGGAGGTATTGGCATCACTCGACCTGGCAACACTGTAGGGGTCCTACATGTATTTCCACGCCCTGCTGGACGCTGGTGCGGTGTTTTAACCCGCACCCTGATGAAAGGGCGGTGTTTGGTTTATCTGCGAAATACTACGCCCCCCCCCAACGGGTTGCGTGTTAACTTGTTGGTGATAACTAGAACAACTGCCTTCCAGATGGAACTGACTCGCGATGAAATGAACTCCCTGTGTGGAGAAATAATGACGGGACTGAAAGGAGAAATGTCCGGACTGAAAGGAGAAATGGATGTCCTAAAGCAGGATATGACCAAGCTCAAGGAGGAGAACACCACACTGCTCAGTGAGGTGATCCGCCTGCAGCAGGCAATGGTTGAGGAGCGCTCCACTCGTCAGACCGTGGTGGAGGAGCTGCGGCAGGAGGTCCGCCGGCGTACAGCGTCATCCGACCGTCCCCAGGGGTGAGACTGGGAGGCAGTAGGGGTGGCACCAGGGGCGTAACTTTGTATACTTTTGGGGAGGCAGGTGCCCCCCCAACTTGAAATTTTGCCACCCCAACATTCCGTTTGCCCCCCCAACCTTGGTGGGCGCCCCCAGGCCCGAAAGGCGCCCTCACGGGCCAGCGGCGTCATAGGAGCGCGTGCGCCATCTTTCAAGGGGGCGCCATCGCCTATATGGAAATGGGATGCGTGAGAGGGGAACCTCTGAGGCCGTGGGGGCGCCTGCATGCGAAAGAGGGGCGCCCATGAAGTCCTCAGGGGCGCCTCAATGCAAAACACGGGCGCCTGAGATGGCCACAGGGGCGCCTGCATGCGAAAGAGGGGCACCTTATTGGCCTCTGAGGCCCTTCGGGGTGCCTCTGAGGTCTATAGTATAGGGGGCGCCCACATGAAAAAGGGGCGCCCATTAAGGCCATAATGGCGCCCCAATACGAAAGAGGGGAGACTGCATGCCAAATGGGGGCGCCTCCGAGGCCCATAGAAAGAGGAGCTCCAGTTGAAGCCCAAAGGGGCGGCTCAATGGGAATTAGAGACGCCTGTGAGGTCTATAGGGGCACCTCTGATGCCCATGTCGAGAGAGTCGTCAGTCGTTTGTGTAACGTTCCTCAGGGATGGTGCGCCGCTTGCGGCAAGTAAAAACTTAGCTAAATAGCGTGCCCCATTGGTTAAAAAGCGCCCCTCGAGCCAAAGTGGTGCCCCTCTGACAACACGCACGTCTTATGTCATCTGTTTTGCTAATAACTAATGCCCCCGCATGCAGAGCGGCGCCCCATCCGTTTATCAATGTGACCCTTCAGGTGGATGAAGCGCCCCTCTGGCCAATACCTTATCATCATTGTTGCTAGAACAGCGCCCCCAGTCCGTAGACTGCCCCATTGGCTCCTGAAGGCGCCCCTCGTGCCCGTTTTGGCGCCCCTCTGCACTGAGTAATGAAATGTATGTGG